ATGCAGGGAAAACAAATCCAGCACATACCAAACCAAGTCTGTGCTCTCAAATTAGCTGAAGGTAAAAAAAGTAAAAGAACAATGCATTCTTTCTTCTTCAACCAGGCCTTGGGCTGATTAATATCCCATACCCTTTTAAATGTGTTGTGGGAGATTCTTGGTTTGTTTTTGTTCTGTAGTTTGTGTTTTTTATAATGTATTTTTATGTTGCTCACCACCTTGAGATCTATGGATGAAGGGTGATATACAAATTTAATAAACAAATATTAGTCTTCTGCTATTAGAATAAGTTCACTGGCTGGCTAGTGACCACCGTGGAAAACAGGATGCTAGAAACTCTGAACCTGAGAGATTAAAAAATGGGAAGCTTGGGAGGAGAAGCAGAAGAATGGAATGGGAAAACAGCATGTCTGACTTTAAAAGTAGCATGGCACAATGGAATTTTGTTGTATGCCCTAGTGACTATATTTAATCATCAAAAAGACAACACAAGGTTTCAGCTTAGACACCCATGCTAGCCCTGGCCTTCACATAGGACCAGATACAAGTTGACATTTGGATAACAACCCAGATACTTTTGTAATTGCACAGGACCCTTTTCTTCTTTTGTAGTTGACTTTGAGGAAGCGTAGCTTGCACATGTGAAATCACTCCTCCTTGCCCTTGCCAATGATGTTCTTAAAGGTGTACAACTGCATTTCAACAACATTCATGTACTATCTGGAGAGAGAATTCCATTTTTTCTCCAAGGCCAAAAATGATGTGGCTATGGTGCACAATGAAATCTGCTTTCCTAATAATTTTGAGAGAAGCCACGTGGTGACTGTGCTTAGCAAATAAGAAGGGAAAGCGTGTTTATTGTGCAATAAACTGGTAATGTGGAAAATCCTCCAGGCACTTCAATGAAACCATTGCCGCAAAGTATGCTTCAGAGTTGGGTTTTATATGTATAGCCTGTAACAGAATAACTTGCCTTTTAAAAACAATTCATACTTGACAGATTATATTGGTTTTTCTGAATATTTGAACTGTAATAGGAATCTACATCTGCATTTACTTACTTCTCAACTGCTGCACACGGAAGTACTGAACAGAATTGGTAAACTGTGCTGAGAGCTGAACTTTCATAGAAATTATAACCTTCCAAAATGGCTTTTACCTTTTTTAAAACTGTTTTTTAATAGTCTGGTTGAAAAATACTGAATTGCATGACAAAGCAAATGTACTTATAATATAGACTTTGAAAACTTTAGATGTTCAGAATGTTGAGCTCCCTTCTTTGCCCGAGTAAGAAAAGAATTATGGGGATAAACAGTGAATCAAATGGTTGCAACAAAGCAAGGTCAAAATTGTACAGTTTATAGCATTCTTTCATAGGATCATTGAAGCGCATTAAAATACTCTATGAGAGAACTCAGGAGACAGGGTAAAGAAATCTCACAGTATTGTATCTCTGCGTCTCTCGTAAGCATTACTGTCATGAGAAAAGAGAGAATGTGCTTAACGCCCACTTAGCAATTCAGGAGGAATTTTCCCAAGGGCAAAACAGCAGCAAGCATCATTTAAAAATAAAATAAAGACAACAACAGAAGACACAGATGGGTAAAATGTATCTTTTTTCTCTGTTGGTGAGCATGCAAACCTACATTTTGTACCATCATAACCTGCAAAAATATTTAAGGTTAAACATTATTGATTGGTACTTGGAAATATTTACATACAGATCTATTTATTTATTTAACACACATATATGCCATTCTTCAGTTAAATGAATTTCTTAGGGTAGCAATAATAGCAGGTTAACACTAATGATAGGTAAGTAGCATTGTATTAACACAGCAACAAAGTAACAGTGCAGCACATAAAAACACAATATAAACAGGGGGGGAAACCAGTAAGATATTAGCAGATTAAAATCAGGGGGTATACTAGAAGTCTTGTCAAATGAAAATGTTTCTGCCTGGCATCATTCCCCCTCAGCCCCATAAATCAAATTTGGCACTAAACCAAATGGGAAGGGCATTCCAAATTGGAAGCTATAATTGAGAAGGTCCTTTCTCTGGTTACCACCTGTTTAGGAAGTCAGAACTGAGAGAAAAGTCTATGATGACCATAGCATTTGGACAGGACCGTGTGCAATACATTCATGCACATGCATGTACTATGCACATAGCCACATAAACTAGAGAAATATGCTCACTGGATTGGATAAAATGATTCTTGGTGTACTGATAAGCAGACCAATAAGCAGACCAATGGAAATAATTGTTGGGGATCTCTTTACCACTAAGACTGACTTAAGAGTTGCCTTCATTTCATTTTAGATTATTACTTTGTAAAATTTCACCCAAAATCGGTACCCACTTTATAAGTAGCAAAAAAATGAGGGGGACATTTAATTATTTTTCAGAAGGAATTTTTTGAGCTGTGTTAAGTGTGGGTTTGTGCATGCTTACCATTGGTAACTGAGCAGCAGATTCTTTTAAAACATTTCCCACTCTTCCAGTGTAACACTAGAGCCCCTTAAGGTGGTCAATAGCTACCTGCTAGAATTACTGTCCCAGAATTCCCCCGGAACAATGTTACATCAAGATGTAACATCAAGGGGCTTTTTTTTGGTGGGGGTATCCCTGTCCAATTGCTTATTATTATTATTATTATTATTATTATTATTATTATTATTATCGTCATCACCCTTTTGGCATCCCTTTTGGTATCCCTAGCAAACTTAGCTGAAAGTTTGAAATGCTGAACTCTGGGCACACCCATACCCTATCCAGGCATGACCAAACTTGGCCCTCCAGATGTTTTAGGACTACAGTTCCCACTACCTCTGACCACTGGTCCCATTAGCTAGGGATGATGGGAGTTGTAGTCCCAAAACATCTGGAGGGCCAAGTTTGGCCATGCCTGCCTATACATTTGGACCACTGTGTTTGTTTATTTTAATCATTTGTATCCCACTCTTCCTGCCCAAGAAGATTAGAGTGGCATACACTAAAAACAGTAAAATTATATAAATAAGCAACAACAGCACAGAACCATACTTAAGGCAAAATTTATAGGACTCAAAAGCCTGATTAAAAATAATCGGTCCTTCTAAATGCAAGCTATGAATGAACCTTGTGCCATTAACACATTGTTGTATTGCTGCTGCCTTTTTTGCAGCAGTTGACGTTGTCTGCTTTCTCAAGGTAAAGAATGTTTTCTCCATATTGTGGTCAGCATAGTGATTCATTGTCTTCACTCCCCGCTTCTTCCTGTTTCTACATGCAAAAGGAAGATCCTGGAGAAGATTGGTGGGAGAGGGCACATTGCAGAGCCAGCCCTCTAGCAAAGCTTCTGGAGCACTGAGAAAGATTGGGAATGGCTGCTTACCTGGTCTGGAGGTGAGCGGTGATTGAGACCTGGCGCAGTAGCCCCTCAAACCCCAGAGGGCAGAATGACTTTACCATGGTGGCTGGCCTATCAGGGGCAAGCTGAGGGGTGGAGTCTGGGTGGTGGACCAGTGTGGAAAAGTATTCATTCTGATTTACCTCTGGCCAACTGCTCCTGAGCATGGCATCCACTCCTACCCTTCACCATAGCCCATTTCTCCCAAAGCATTGATTGCAGTAGTATTATAGTTGCATCAGGCTTAATTTCTTATAGACTAAATTAAGGTTGCAAATTATCCTCTACACACTTAACCTGGGAGTGAACTATGTTGAATGTAGTGTTACTTAAAGGTAAAGGGACCCCTGACCATTAGGTCCAGTCGTGGCTGACTCTGGGGTTGCGGCGCTCATCTCGCTTTATTGGCCGAGGGAGCCGGTGTACAGCTTCCAGGTCATGTGGCCAGCATGACTAAGCCGCTTCTGGCGTACCAGAGCAGTGCACAGAAATGCCGTTTACCTTCCCGCTGGAGTAGTACCTATTTATCTACTTGCACTTTGACATGCTTTCGAACTGCTAGATTGGCAGGAGCAGGGACCAAGCAACGGGAGCTCACCCTTTCGCGGGAATTTGAACCTCTGACCTTCTTATCGGCAAGTCCTAGGCTCTGTGGTTTAACCCACCCACGTGGGTAAGTGTTGCTTACCTCTGAGTAAATTTGCCTAGGATTACACTGGCACAGTCATCTTTGCCATTAAAAATTGCATATCTTACAGAATAATCTGAGTTACATCTATGGAGAATGTAGCCATTGTTTAGCATTGCTTTTCTTCTGTCGTAATGGCACCTTAAAATTTTCATATTTTACAGTCCTGTTGAAAATATGCACCTCCCTCCCTGCTATTTTTCTTTTTAAGGACCTGATCATCTTCCCAATAACATGTTAAGCATCTTGTGACATCTGGCCCTCAGCTGAGGTGTGGCATGGAATCTTTGGTTAATAATAATTATAATTAAAAACATTCGGAATCCTCATGGTTGTGGAGTGAAACATGTTTTGCATTCAATGTGTTTTTTGCTGAACTGAATGGAGAGCCTGTGCAGACACAGCAGGCAGCATCTCGAGGCAACACAGAGGCACTTCAGGCTCTGGATAGAACTGTCATTGGAATGGCAGAGGAGAGGTGCTGCCTTAGGCAGGCAATTAACCACACCAGCTCCTTAAGCAGGACCCATGTTAGGGAAAGGGCCATAGCTCAGTGACAGAGAATCTGTTTTGTATACAGAAGGTTCCAGTTCAATCCATGGCATCTCCTGAGATGAGACCCCTTGCCTGAAACCCTGGAGAGCCACTGCCAGTTCATGCAGACAACACTCAGGCTGGATCTAGACACATCAAAAAAATGGATCCACATGGATTCTCAGGATTTTTGCCTTGGGCTACCCCCAAACTCACCGTCAAATCACATATCATGTCTGTGGCCACAGCATGAACCACAAAAATCATACATCCACTGTTTTGTTCAGAATATTTTTTTCCTTGTTTTCCTCCTTTAAAAACTAGGTGCGTCTTATGGCGCGAAAAATACGGAATTCATTTGATTTGTGAATTTCTCTCTTTACAGGGCAACTAAGGAAGGCTGGTATCTCTATGCAGACAGTTCCAATGGACAATTTGGACATACTGCTGACATTACCACTCCAGTAATTTCCCAGACTGGACCGAAGTGCAAGCTGGTGTTTTGGAACTACATGAATGGGGCAACAGTGGGTTCACTGAAGGTACTAAAAAGACAGTTTATAGACTAAAAAAAGGAAGAAGAAGAATATTCACAACCTGCATGATGATGATGATTACAATGATTATTACATTTATATCCCACTTTCCCTTCAGGGAGCTCAAGGTAGCATACATAGCTCTGAGATTACACCCACAAGCTCCTTTAGTACCCTCGGGTGCAGCTCCTCAGCCCCGGAGAGCTGAATTCATTTAAAGTAGCTAGGTGTTTCCTTACCACCTTTCTTCCTATCTTGGGCTTCAGCACCCTTCTTATATCATTTATTCTGTTATCACCCCCTGAACTGTCTCTATGGCAGCTAGTCATTGTTTAAGAACTGTTTGCTCCCCCCCCCCCCGTTTTGCTTCCCCGTCCCTTTCCCCTGTTGTGTCATTGATGGGGGGGGGGAGAGAGAATTGTAAGCCTGCAAGAGGGACTGTTTCAATTGATCATACGTAAGCTGCTCTGTGAGCCTTTTTTGGCTGAAGAGTGGGGTACAAATGTTCTAATTAAATAAAAGAAATAATGTTGATATGTGAGACTTCTCTGTCAATGAAAACTGTTCCATTTAAAGGGAATGGTTATTTCATTTTGCCATGTTATGTGCAACTGGGAGATGATTTTTCTCCTATTAAAATGAAAAGCCTCTCTAGATAGTCCTGGAGCTAAAACTGCAGATCATTATACCTGGTGATAAATCCTGGAGAGGAAAAGCGTTTTGGGGAGCTGATGATGTACAGTTCTGTCATTGCTGTCTAGAATCACAATCTGACATACATCACCATACTTCCATCTCCTGATGTTGTCAGTTTGACTCAGTTAAGACACTTTAGCTTCAGTGAAGCATGTTTAGGGCAGTTGACTCCTGGGAGCAACCCGTCACAATTCAATGAATATTTACTGAGGCAGGAAGCGAGGAGGACACCTCATGCACCTTCTGAAGTTCAAACTAAACAAGAGCTCTGGAACTTGATTGCAAAAGTTTTTTTATGCAAACAACTGGATGTTTAATGTACTGCAAAACTAAAATGAGTTTTGAAACTGAATACAATCATGGGGTAATAGCAATTTTAACTGTTCTTGGTATTAGGATTGCTTTTCTTATTTCTTCGGCATACCAAAGGCAAGTGTCATCACTTGCTATTCAAACCAGTTGGAGTGGAAATGATCAAGCCTTGTTTACACAATCACAATTTAAAAGTTGTTATTCTGGGGCTCTTATCCTCTCCCTTATGTGTTAATCTCCAGCCCTTTTCAGGCATTATTTCCTCCTTGCCCTTCATTGCCCCGCTAATAACATTGTGCAAGGGGAAGCATGGGGATGGTCTCTAGTGTTCCATGTCATGCCCACACAGGAGGAGTGCTCAGTTGCAGAAAAGGACCCATCGCCAAATTTCTTGCTGTTGTGAATACTGGATCCACATGCGAAAGACCAATTCTGACCAGGAGTTCAGTGATTGGGTCAGAAACATTGGCTTTGCTCATGTGGTTCTGGTATTATTCAGACGCATTCTGCAGATCTTACTAGAAGGAAGCCATTCCCTGCTAGCACTACATCTGACTGCAGGTTAATGCTTTGAATGTGTAAATAAATCAAAGGCTGGTGTGAGTTAAGAGGCTGCTATCCCAGATTCTGTTAAAAAAAAGAGTCATTCACCATAAACATACTGCATGTTCAGAGATTTGTAGGATAGCTATTATAACTATTTCTTTTCATGTAAAAATGAAACATGGAGCTAAACTGAAGCTGTTAAAAGACTGCTTGTCTTACGATTTGCAAAACACGAGCTGCTCATTTCACTGTAGATGTTGTTCAATTTTTAGGTGCTCAGAAAAGAGGGAAACATGTCTTTTGAACTTTGGTCACAGAGTGGCCCCCAGGGTCCTCAGTGGAACAGAGCTGAAGTGCATTTAGGTGTTCAATCTTATTTTCAGGTATGTGCAATTTTGTTTGCCTTCTTCCCTTACCATTTCAAGCTATTTAATGCTTCTGTTGTTCTGCGCTCGTAATGTCAGCCTTAAGACATCATTGCATTTTGAAGCAATCAAAATCAAAATGATGCCTCTGCTGTAGAATGAAGTTCATTCATTAATGGCACGTAGAAGCAGAAATTGAAGGCAGGGTGTTTCTTAAAGAATCTGTTACTTGAACTGACTGCTTTATTGTTGCTTTATGGCCAAGACCAGAAACCAGTGACCCTCCAGATGTTGTCAGATACAATCAACCCCAGCCAGCATGACCAGTGATCATGGATGATGGACACTGTAGCTCTACAATATATTCAGGGTCACAGATTCCCAGTCCCTGCTTTAGGATGTCAAAACCTTACCACAGTTGGCAGCATCACAGCCTTTGGAAAATAGAATAATTTGGCAACATATTTTTTTTAATTTTTTTTAGTCCCAATTGTATTTCTGTTTGTCTGTATATGTTTGCTTGTTTTGTATTACAAAGTAATGGTGACTCTGCTTCGTACCAATCTTCCCTGTTCCCTTTTCTGGCAGTAAAATATGAACAATGTTAACTTTGGAATTGTTCACTCCCTACCAGCTATCTCCTTTGTGTTTCTCATGTAGCATTCTTACCAGTAGTGGCACTTGTGATAGATGGAGCTGCCCTCCTGCTCCAGCATTGTTGCTGCTTACCTGGATGGTTTGGAGTGGTCAAGTCGGGGCCATGTGGGTGCCCCGGCAGGACCAATGGCTTGTCAGCAGCAATCCCACTACTGTACCTGTCCAGCCCTGAACTCTCCACCGCTCTTCCACTCCATATCTCCATACTGGTAAGCATTAGTAATACTGGTGTCGGGAGAGAAGCTTCACCCCACTGATGCTACTGATGCTCACCATGCTCACCACTATCATATGGATCGGAACATTACTAGAGGTGCATGCTTGTATCAGAATGTGGCTATTTATATTTCTACTTTCTCCACTTCACAGGTTATCTTCAGGGCGAAAAGGGGCATCAGTTATGTGGGAGATGTGGCAGTGGATGATATTTCATTTCAGGAGTGTTCCCCCTTACTGATCCCAGACAGACACTGTACTTCTGATGAATTTACCTGTGCCAACAAATACTGCCTCCCAAAGGATAACCTTTGTGATTTTGTGAATGACTGTGCAGATAACTCAGATGAGAATCAAAGCATTTGCAGTGAGTACGGCTGTTCCTTGCTTTAATGAGCAGAAGCTATCAAGTCTCTAGTGAATTATTTATATAGTAGCACTGCTGCCAGTTCATTAGTGGTTCCGAAATGTAAATGAAAAGCAAAATTAATGATTTTGAAATGCTTGTTATACTGGAGTCTGCCTCACATACACCCACATGTTCATACAAACAGATGTCCCCACCGAAGAGTTTGCCAACCTTCTGGGTGCCAAAATCCTGAGGACTCCTGCGTCACCCAGGTAAATATTTTGGCAGGAGGCAGCTGCCTAAACCTTGGGATTTAGGCACCCAGGAGGTTGGCAACTCTCAGCTGTTTGTATGAACATGTGGGTGCATGTGATTCCATTCGATATTAGTGATAGTGTCCAGGGCACCTGGAAGTTGTATTAACCAAATAAAATAATGTGCTTCAGGCAATGATATGATTGTTATCTTAATTAATGTAAAATGAGAAAAAACGACTTGTTATTTAGTGTACTGGTATGATGCTGCTCAGCTTGCAATAAGACACAGGGGGGCACTGGGCTATTACAATAGCATTTTGGTTTTACTACAGTTGCAAAATAAAATGTGGAACCAGCCCTACACATACTTTTCTAGAGAATTGGGTTCCAGTGTAATGAAAACACATCTGATTCTCATTTGTTACACGGACACTGAGAGGGGTGAGTTTTGGCAGCATCAAACAGGGTCCTCAGAGAACTATGTGGAACTAGATGTTGTTGCCCCAGCACTCTGTCATCTAGTGCTGTTATGTTGCTTCAGCATCAGCAAATGCTTCCCTGTTGCTTTCCTGGGTGGAGAAAGAGTGGGTGTATGTTAACAGTGTGCCCACTGGATTCGTTAGGTCATGTGCAAGTGAGGGTGTGTGGATGTCTCTACCTGTGTACGCAGGTCATTCCTACCACAATCTCCAACATATGCCCTTTGACTTTCCTGCTGCTGCTCACCTTGCGGTCTACAGAGACAGACAAATCCCAAACTTGCTGTCGGAAATCATTTCGTATTTTCGTCAGTAACTTTCTTTCAGCGAGTTGATGTCATGTTGATGCTGCTGCAATCTAAGTCTTGAACCAGGTAACCATATTTTAAAATACAAAAAAGTGAAAATGAGGTTATATATTCATAGAAATTTATTCTGAGCAGAAGCAAGCTAATAAACTATTTATTGCATCTTAAACTTGACCATAAGCTGCTTCCAGCTAGTTAAAACGGAAATTAAATTGTACATTGCTACATGTTCACTCCAGTGGCCAAGATTTAAATGAGCAAAGGGCTTTGATTTTGTATTTTTAAAACAACTTTTAAAAGATAATTTTTTTAAAAAAAGAAAGTAGTTAATATCCCTAGGACATTCATCCGCTTTCAGTGTTAAAGCATATGAAAGGATGATCAAGCAACAGTGGTCACAGATGACAGGGCAAATCCCACAAAAATAATGTGCTCTCTCCAGACCAAAAGGGGATACAGAAGATGCACACTGTCCACCAAGCCCCGTTCTGTTCCCAGTAACCACAGGACACCTTTGCCCGGCAGCGCTGTGGCCCATAGATTGCAGCAAATACTGGGCAAGGCTTTGCCCAGTATCTTCTCTGTGTGATGGGCTCATGGGAAAAAGCTTTCCAATGAGCCCTTGTTGAAGAGGGGAGGGGAAAGCCTATATAAGGCTGCTTCCCCTGGATATCACAGCCATTTTGTTTGAGAGGTTTCCACATGCCCACCCTCGCATTCAATGAGCAATTTTAGGTCGTTGGTTGACACGTCAGGAAAGGATTTTTTTTCTCTCTCAACCTGATTGGCACTTGGGTGGGGTTTTATCACCTTTCCCTCAGTGAAATTATGGCTTTCCTTTGTTAGGCAGAAGAACATTGTTTGTATGAGGGCGGAAATGGCATTGGTCATGATCAACATAGTACAGTGGTACCTCAGGTAACATACGCTTTAGGTTACAGACTCTGCTAACCCAGAAATAGTACCTTGGGTTAAGAACTTTGCTTCAGGATGAGAACAGAAATTGTGCTCCCACGGCGCGGCAGCAGCTGGAGGCCCCATTAGCTAAAGTGGTGCTTCAGGTTAAGTACAGTTTCAGGTTAAGAACGGACCTCCGGAATGAATTAAGTTCTTAACCCGAGGTACCACTGTATAGAGGGGACTCCATAAGAGGCCTGAGGGGAGGATTGACCACAACAAACCCAGGCGTGGATTCGGTACCTGCCTGGTTGGAATCTGCACCCTGGTCCCCCAGTGAGACCTTGCTTGCTTGGCTTGTACCACAGCAAGGTTCAACACTGGCTGACTCCCATCATATAGGTTTGGGGCGATCCAAACCCAGTGGATCCATTCCATCAACATGGGGCTTGTGGAATGATGAACTGATCAGGGGAACCAATGCCATGCCAACCCTTGCCCCTGCCTGCTGCTGTCAATTTGGCCTGATTTTATCCCATCACCGTTGTACAGTCTGGTCATTTTGCTACTCTCATGGGTCTCATAATGCGCCTGCCTGGGCAATTGCATAGGTACCCAGCAAATTGCGATTTGGTGCTCTCAAATTTGCAAGAAAAGAAAGCAAAACGATGCCAAAACATTTTTAAAGATTTGGGAATGAATCTTATAAATATTTCCCAATATAACAGAAAGGTTTCATGTTGAACACTGCATTTTATGCATCCAAATATCTTATTTAATTTTAACAAGGAATGCTAATTTGAAAATTTTAAGTACAGGCAACAAAAAAGGGAAAACTCCACGTTGCAACATGGCAAAATCACATGCTACTGTCCTTAGTTACATTATGGGTAAGCTTGAGTAAAGCCTGTGCTTAAATAAAATTCTGTTATCCTGGAATTGCAGAGGCAAAAGAAGGGAAATTTTGACCTCTGCCACTGGCTAGGATACTAAGGTGTACCGGGTGGTTTTACCACCTGTCTTTCAGAAGGAGACCAACTTGGTCCTATCTTAAGTCTTTGCAATAAATTTTTGTATTTTTCAAGGGGATTTGTCCCATTCCAGTGACTATTTTGCTGTTATTCCTAACCTAACATTAGATCCAATCTCCCCCTACATGCCTCATTAATTTATCTTGATGATAATAAGAATGTCTAAGAAAAAAAAATGGACACAGTGGAACAATTCCTCAGCAGATAAAAATGTAATTAAATTTAGAATATAATCTATTGTTGAAGTCAGGTCTTTTTTGACATAAGATAATCAGGTAGCTATGCTCACTTCATTTCCAAGAGGAATGTCATTGTTCAAAGTGTGCCAAATGATGATGCCGTCTTAGCTGTGATAATCTACTATCACAAAGCACTGCTTGGGATGGACCTGCTTACACGTTGATCTCACCCTCCAGGGAAGTGCATGACAAAGAGAATGCATTTCTTGAATTTTTTTTAAAAAAAATTAAAATGAGAATGTAGTCTGTACTGTCTCTTGACAACAAATCACACTTGAGATTTATGAAACCGTGTGTTGACAATGCTGAAAGTGGACCAGCTGTGATGAACGTCTAATGTTTGGATTGAGTTTTGTTTAGTTTTTTGTTTGAAGTTCAGTATCAGTCTCTTAAAGCTGACATAATCATTGCATTTGGGAGCTGCAGTGGCTATGTGGTGGTTCACTCTTTGATGTTTGCATCAAGCCCTGATTCTTTAAATCAGCAGGGCCCAGGAGGACCAGCAGTAAGAAGTTTTTCTGATGGAAGTGTTGGCATAATACTTGGTATTTGTTTTGGAAACTTTTCTTGTTTTGGAGCTTGAGCCCAAGACAGAGGAAGGCCAGTCTCAGTGAGATGTATTTATTGTGGTTGTGAATGCAAACATGCACCAGGCTTTATTATTACCTATTCCATTTTATCCCACCCTTCCAAGGAGCTTAGGACAACGTACAAGCCTCTTTCATACCCATTTTATTCTTACAACTTCCCTAAGACATACAGTAGGTTAGGCTGAGAGTTATGGATGTACCAGAGAACAGCCGGTGAGCTTGTGGAGTTGAACCCAAGACTCCCTGGTCCTAATCTAACCACTGCACCTTAGTTTCTCAACATATGATATACCAGCTTTATTTCTAGTATCATCAATTTCAGGTTGCAGTCCATGAAATAAAATGGGAGGTTTGAGGATTAGAGTAGAGGATCTTTAAATGGTAAGAAAGTGAAAAACCTTTTCTTAGTCTGCTTAGGTGAGCTGCAGTAAGTTCGTTTAGGTTCCTTAAAATGTGTTGAGAAGCACCCATGTATACGTGAGGTTGGATGGTCATTTGTCATGGATGCTTTAGTTGAGATTGCTGCATTGCAGGGAGTTGGACTACATGATCCTTAGGGTCCCTTCCAATGACTGTTCTAGGATTCTCTGCCTCTTGTGCAGCTGTCCTCTTTTAGTTGATGATGGCTCGTTCCATTATAGAGGTTCTCACTTGATGCAGCAGTTATCAAGTGACAAGCACGTATGTGTGAGGCAATCCATCCTTGTTTCCCAATGAAACCTCAATACTGTTTGGGGGAGGGGTATCCATTTTAAAGTAGCTCTAGTCCCTCTTTTTAAAAAGACCATACAACTTTCTTTTACACAAAAATATTGGGGGGAACATACATTGTGAAACTTTAATTTGCCTTCTGCAATTCTCCAAAGCCCTTTCTCATTAATTTAGCTAGCTAAAAGAATACTTCAGCATAAGTTTAGATTTCCCTGGTTGTAAGATGGAAGTACCACTTACCGTCAACCAGAGAGGGCAGTCCAGTGCAGCTGCAGTGGTGCCTGGTTGTTTTCTGGCTTTAGCATGGGATGACATCACTTCCTCCTCCACTGGCTGCACCAGCTGCTGGAGCTCTCCCCTGGTTGCAGCCAGTCGTTCTGCCCTTCATTTCTCTCTGTGTTCTGGGAGACCAGGGCAGAAGGAATCTGGTCACAGCAGGAGGGGGAGACTCTCTGGATTCTTCAGCAGCCTGCCTCATATCTCTCTCCTGCCATCCTTCCTCTCCTGCCTCTGAGTCTAGACTGGCCTCTGCCACAGCCTCTTCCTGCTCACTAAGCCCTGTTACTTCTGCAGCTTCTGACACTTCCTCCTTCCAGTCTGCCCCCTCTTCTCTCTCTGAACATGCATCACCATCCCACCCCAAATCCCCTGCTTCTGAGCCTTCTACCCCTGGGGGTTGGCTCTGCATCCAGCCAGTCCATGACAGCAGACAGGCTGGTTGATACAGGATACACACCCAATGCCTACACCAAACCCTGATGACATCTCTAATAAATAGACTTGTGGCCTGTTTAATCCCAAATGGTTCTTCTGTGCTTATTTCAACTTCCCACCGCCTGCAGCATCATTGTGCCTGGACTTTCAAATTGTACCTTCTCTTTGAATATGAAAGAACATATCTAGTCAAGTTGTTTTTTGCTCTTTTTCAATTATCTCTTTTTATACTGAAGTAACGTTAAGTCCAAATATAACTAATTTCACAGGTAATTTCAATATGAAATAAGCTGCATCCTGCTGTTTCTTTTAATAGTTGACCTTGTTCTCTGATGGTCTAATTCCTGTAGCTAGTATAATTCTGTATGTTACTAAAATATATAAAAAGTTTCTTCTCTTTTGCTTGTCTAGAAGAATTGGTTTGTTGCGATCTTTGAATCATAAAACTTAGAAACTTAAAACAATAGGTTTAACAATTAAAAATTTAAAGCTTTCTGTTTTTCTCAAAATATTATGAAATAAATATCTAAGGTACCAGATATTTTTGGTTTACCCATATTGCCTCTTATAAACATTCATTTGTAAATTGCAATTAGATACCTATTGGGTAAAATAAGCCTGAATTAAAGAAAAGGCTGTTTGCTAATCTAAATTCCTTTTAAAATAATGTCATTATCACCATCAGCCTTTGCATCAGCCACCTGTTAAAAAGCCTTTCATTAGTTAAATGAGACTCCCTCCATTTTGAGGATAAAGGCAGAATATGTTTGTTATTATGGTGCTAATTTCAGCATTTTGCATTCTTTTTCGATTTTAGACACTTTGAATTTTGTTGGGTTTGTTTTGTTTTGTTAGGTATGTCCATTGGGCGCTGTGATTTTGAGTTTGATCTCTGTGATTGGGAACAAGATCAGAATGACGACTTTGACTGGAATCTCAGAATTGGAGGAATCCCAAGAGCAGGCACTGGGCCAGTAGCTGATCATACCTTGCAAGAACCATCTGGTCATTACATCTTTATAAAAAACTCCTTCCCTCAGTTGCCAGGGCAAGAAGCCAGAATTACTAGTGTGACTGTAAGCAGAAAGAGCAAAAATTGCAAGGTATGTGAAGGCATGTCTAGCAGGAACAATAGAAGTTAATTACTAATTGCAAGAATAAAACATCACTTAAGCATCCCTTAGAAAAAATATTTTGTTTTATAGGTATCACCTTGTTCCTTTAATTAACCAAATGCTATTGTAAAGCAGTATTATGTTGCTTTCAGTGTAGAACCTCCAAAAAGGGAAATAGGTTCTGTTGAAAACTTCATTTTTTTCTGAATGAAATACATTGCTTAAGTGACATTAGTGTTTGGATCTTGGCTGCTGGGTGTAGAAAATGTCTTATGATAAAAAATGTACAGAATAATTTGTGTGCCTCTGATAAACTATTGAAATTAAGCAAGGATAAACAAATATTTGAATAAAAAAGATTATTGCGGTTAAAATGTCAGTTGGATTCCACCCCCAAACATTTGGTAGTGGGAAATAAACATTTATTTTTCAAAGGAAGTTATTTATTTATTAGATTTCTAAGGTGCCCTACTGTGGAACTCTCAAGGCAGTTTAGAAGCATATTAAAGCAAAAAGAAACAATCAAAAACAACAAAGTTAACTCAAAACAACGAAAGGAAGACTGTATTTTATTACACTGGATCTAAAATGAGACTTCATGGGTGATACTGAACCAGTCTCCAAGAATTCAGTATCTCTATTAAGAAGTGCAACTGCTTCCTGCTCCCCTGTCCCACCACCTTCCCCTTAAAAGCTGGTCTTTACTGTAAAATCATTAATGGACTATAGATATTTAAATGGATAAATATTGCAAATCCACTGCACACTGACAGATAGTCTGTTGGATTCTTTTCTCATGGAACCATAAAACATGTTTTCACTATGAAGGGAGTATTATTTAAAGTCACTGCTCCATATTTACTCCTTCTCTTCATTTCAGGTAATATTCTACTACCACATGTATGGAGCTAACACTGGATCACTAACTGTCTACCAGGTGACAGCATCAAATCCCCCCCAAGTATTATTCAGCCTCTCTGGAGATCAGGGGAATTTCTGGAAAAGAAAAGTGCTGCTATTAGAAGCCTATGAGGACTTCCAGATCACCTTTGAAGGGCGTGTTGGAAAAGGCTACAGATATATAGCCCTTGATGACATCGTGTTTACAAGGGAATGCTTGCCATCATCAGGGTTCTTGCCCGATGAACCTACAGCATCACCCCCAACAGGTAATTACTTGAGAATGTCAAGAAAGATCTCTCTCCCCACTTCACTTTTATATTTCGGCAATATAGAAATCAGCACATTGATGGGATGTGGTCATTGAAAAAACATAAATATATTGAGTCGCTTTAAAGAGGGAGAATCTTTTTGAACTTCCCCATCACTTATAAATGCTTGCAGGTTGCACAAACATTTCCCCTGTGTAGCAATGGATCTCTGAAGATCGCTGGATTACTTCAGACTTTTCTGAAATGTGTTAAATGAGGACCTTGCCCTAGTAATTGACAAAGTAATTCAAAATCTGCCGTGTGCAAATGGAGCTGAGATGCAGGACACCTTTTAAAATGAGATCCTCTAAAATAAGAGATCACTTAAAATAAGGAGCTTGTTGTGGTTTTGTGCAGGAGAGAATTGTACCCAGTTACTCCAATTTGTTCTGGGTTGTTGCAGCCCATAGTTGAAGTCAAAGCCTTTAATTTATTGACTTCTCTTGATGGAACTCTTTACTTTAGTACTGATGGGTCTGTGCTTCGGTAAACAGAACAATCTTAGTTATATATCCATATCAATGCATACGGCTGCTCTTGGGGGCATGTTCTTAAAGTCTTGTTTACAATTTTAAGTGCAAAAGTCTATTTTTAACAATGTTACGTTTATGGTTTAAAATGCATATCAGAGTAGCTAAAGATACCGCCATAGTTCCTGAGAACTGTGGGCAGAAAGAGGTTTGCACAAGGGGACTTTCCCATCCCCTCTTCCCTACTGTTAGGGTTGCCATATTTCAAAAAAATAAAAACCAGGGCACCCGGGGCGTTGTTGAGCGCCACTTGGATTAGGTGCTCCTACCTGATTCCCTTTCCCATTGAACCCTAGACCACATCACCATACTTATCCGGAACGTTCCCTGATCCTGAAGAGAAACATTATTTCCCTTCCAGCACAACCTAATATTTAAGTGAGTGTGCTTTAGAATTGGAGCCTGAAAGCAATAAAATTGATGGTGATTGTCAGACATATTTCTTGCAATTTACTGCCCCCTTTGACAAGGCATTTATTATTACAGGGAATTACTGAAGCCTGGAGATATGGGTGTGCTTGACAGGGAGGTGTATTATGTTCCATCTCCATTGGCCTTTTGTTTAGCATATGATACCGATATGGTGTTAAACTACACTGGGAATTAAGAAAATTTATTATTCTTGTTGTAGACATATTTTTTTTAAAGCGCCCTTGCTGCTTTGGAGACTCTGAACCAAAGTTCTGTGCTTTATTTTAAAAATAAAACAAAAGCTTCTTGGGCACGTTCACCTGGCAGTTTGTAAGCAGTTGGGAGACTCTTGGGATGGTTGGAAATTCTAAATCAATTCTTTCGGACAGTGAAAGCTTTTCATTTCTTATCATCATGCCAGGGATGTTAAAGCCTTACAAACATTCATGTGGGACCCATTTCCTTTTATAGAATATCCAAGGTTTTAGTCATATGTGAGTGTGTGTGTATGAATATATATATATTCTCTAAACACTTTCAGATTAACACAATTGTGCAGGAAGCTCATTAATCACTTCTTTTGTCCCATTCTTGTTCACCTGCCACGATTTGGTACTCAAAAGTTTCAAGGTCAGTGCTTTTAATGGAACTTTTTGCTGGAATTGTGGAGATCCAGAGACAATGGGATTAGCTGCACTAAAGACTCATATCTCTTTGATCTTTATTATGCTGAGCACAGCATGTTATAGTATAGGAAACTGCACTGACAACAAAACTCAGCTTAAAAAAAAATAGCGCTCAGGTTTTTTTTCTAGCTCCCAGAAATAAGGTTTGCCAGCCATTCAGCATTGACTGAGTTCTTTATTTGAACAGTATAATGACAAGGTTGTGAATAATTAAGTTCAATAAATTGAGATGACCCCCAAGCTGAAACACCCTCCATCTGTTTACTGAAGCACTTCAAAAACTTAATCATGCCTCGGACATTTCAAGTATAGCGCACCTTTTCGTTTAAGACAATTTTCATCTCACGTCTCCTACAGGATCTTTCTTCTGATTAAGAGTTACAACTATTACATTATGCTTAAAAAAGCCAAGCATAATTAATTTTAGAGTATTGTATATAATTAAATATTTAATGTATTATATGTAATGTAAACACAAATAGCATAATTGTTTGTTGGTTTTGGAAACTGGTGCTACCCTCCATTATTTTTGAAAACGATTAACTCCCCAAAATCTATGTAGAGGATACTTATGACTTTGAATACTTAACTACTACTACTACTATTAGTGCTACTAGAACATAGACAGCTCAGTCAGCATAGCACGAGACTCTTAATTTCATGGCTGTGGGTTCAAGCTTCACATTGGGTGGAACATTCCAGCATTGCAGGGGGTTGGACTAGATGACCCTCGTGGTCCCTTCCAACTCTGTGGTTCTATGATTCTACTATTAAGACACCATCAGTGTACATGGTATCTTATGAACTGAAAAAGATGTATAGAGAACTATAAGCAAATATGTCCTGCAAGGTGTTTACAGCAAGGAAGGAAGCCGTGTAAGCAGTAGAGGGAGAAGAAAAGATCATGAGAAAACAATTATATAAACCTATCCTATCCTGAACCTCCCGAACACACTAAGACCCTCCTCAGAGGCTCTGCTCCAAATGCTTGTGCCATCATAGTTACAGTACATAGAGGCTTGAGCTAGGGCCATCTCAGTAGTGGCACCCAACTTATAAAACTTCCTCCCAAAAAAGGTTCCTCTTGCATCTTCCATGGTCGTTTTAGGCACTTGGCAAAGAAAATATTATTTTGAATGTCTCTGGAGCTCTTTGCATTCTTCAGCGCCTGGTTCTATATCCTGGTGTGCATGTCTGGTCCTTCTCAGTATATTTATTTCTCACCATAGTTTTTTTTGTATTTTTTAAAAAAATATTATGGATTTCTTGTTAATTTTACACTATTGTCTTTTTAAAAAAATTGTTAAGTGTTCTGTCCCAGGCAATGGTCTCATCTAGACTGATTTCTAGTCAGAGGAGGGTTAGTTCAGGCAGAGATCAAGTAAGGCAGGATGCAGTCCTACTGAGGGAAATATATATCTATCTCTATCTATCTATCTATCTATCTATCTATCTATCTATCATCTATCTATTTTCAGCTTAGATGCTGTTTTTCAGAACTAAATGTCCTCCCAAACTGGCTCACAGTCAGAAAATTATTAGCAAAACAGCACCAAACAGCACCATCAAAATCACATCCCTCAAGTCACATGTAAATTAGACATTTGAAAAATCTACAACTGACAGAACAGTATTTTTTTTATTAAAAAAACATACCATAAAAATAATAACAGCCAGGTGTAAGCCAGGCTAACATCATCAGATCCCAGCAGTGGTCCCATCCCTGCTCCCAAGCTTCCTGAAATACGTTGGTCAGCTGACACAACAACCTCCAAGCTTCCTGTTACCTTCTGCCTTCAGTAGCAACTCCATCTCTGTTCTCTCATGCCCATGGATTCTCTCTTGGAAGATTGTTCGACGCAAATCTTTATCACCTTCTTCACACAGGTTGGCTTAGTTTGCTGCTTTCTCTGTGTCTTAGGGATTCTCCTCTAGCAGAATTGGCAGCCATACCTTCCGAAGGATGCAGTGTGTTTTCAAATACCCTATTATGCCACCTCTTCCCAACTGCAGCCCTTTGCCATCTCCATGCCAATTGGCCAACTAGCAAATTGGCCCTACTGGCAAAAGTTAAAATACAATACACTAAAGCAAACCAACAGTAATAACAGCAGATAAAAACCGTGCTTGGATAGTTACACAACTATTTTGTTTACACTGTTATAAAACAGACATGGACATTGGATCAAGTGATTTTATTTTATCTATGTGTTTATTTTGTAATATAGGGAGAGGGAAGATGAATCAGAATAATAGAATTAGACCCAGGCTGGATGCTCAACGAATGCTAGCTTATTGACAACTGCAACAAAACTCATGGATGCTGGGTCAGATTCTTGGTGAGAAATAATGAGGGGAAGCAGAACTTTTTAGGCATATTCTCTGAACAAACAGGCATGTATTGCTAACATACTTTAGCATGCTGTGTCTGTTCACAACGGAGCTGCAAGACAGAATATATGACCCAGTTCGCTTCTAGGAATAAAGATTGTGGGATGAATAGAATTTAATGCGAGAGTAGAAAACTCTTCAAAAGCATTTTTGTCCACCTGCCCCCAATCTCTTTAACAATAACTTACAATATCCAGATCTGTCAGAGTTTACATGAGAAGACCTTTCACCTTCTGAAAAACATGACTCTTCTGTGCAAGCTTAAATATTTGTACTATATACTTCCACTTCTCCTGATAACCTCTATCAGTGACCTTGTTATTGTTTCCACTTCACAAATATCAGTGTAAACTGGGGGTTTATAATGCTATTCATCCCATTTGCCTTGGTATAGTTATCTTGAAGCCTCTCAATACATACTAACTATAATATACATGTTTTGTCAAAGGGGAGAAAAAGACTGCCTGCTATAGAAGTCGAAATGTTGCTGTGCAAATGTTAGCAGTAAATTGCATTCTACAAGACAGAAATGATCTGCAAGTCCTGCTGTGGACACCATTAGCAAAATGCCTTATTTGAAATTCTGATAGTCGTGTTTACAACCATACGCTGCAATACAGGGACAGACTCTGTTTGTGCTCATGCCATTTTCAATGAATCTTCTGTCCCAGTGTTGAATAGTTTCAAAGAACCCTGCTTTCCTACTAAGTGAAACTGATTTTACAATGCTGCTCCTTTTCATGAGTCATTTTAGACTAGTCCACAATCCGGTGTTTGGTTTCAACCCACCAATTCAAGTACAGCAGAATACAACCCCAAATTTTTGTTCTCCAAACCACTGATTAGAATTTTATCTCAGATGGTGAAAACAGATTACACCCATTTAGTAATTCTTAAATCTGGATTAATCCCAAGGTTTACTCTTGTAGCTTGAGTGGTT